ATGTTTACTTGTGTTTTATTGACTATGCAAAAGTATTTGATTGTGTAGATCATAACAAATTGTGGATAACATTGAGAAGAATGGGAATTCCAGAACACTTAATTGTACTAATGAGGAACGTGTACATAGATGAGGAGGCTATCGTTTGAACAGAACAACGGGACACTGCATGGTTTAAAATCAAGAAGAGAGTGGTGTTCAGGTTATATCTTTTCACCATACTTATTCAATCTATATGTTGAGCAAATAATCCAAGAAGCTGGACTATATGAAGAAGACCCCATGACATCAAGATTGGAGGAAGAATCATTAACAACCCGCGATACGCTGATGACACAACTTTGCTTACTGAAACTGAGGATGACTTGAAGCACTTACTGATGCAGTGTGGCTTATATCTCAATATAAAGAAAACAAAAATTCTCACAACTGGACCTATAAGCAGCATCACGATAAATGGAGGAAAGATTGAAGTTGTTAAGGACTTTACATTGCTTGGTTCTACAATTGATGCCAAAGGAAGCAGCAGTCTGGACATCAGATGACGTATGACACTGGGGAGATCGGCTGCAAAGGACCTCTTTCAAGTGCTGAGGAGCAAAGATGTCTCCTTGAGGATTAAGGTGCACCTGACACAAGCCATGATGTTTTCAATAACCTCATATGCATGTGAGAGCTGGATAACGAATAAAGAAGAACGAAGAACTGATGCTTTTGAGTTGTGGTGCTGGCAAAGAATGCTGAGAGTACCATGGACTGCTACAAGAACTAACCTATCTGTCCTGGAGAAAGTGCAGCCGAAATGCTCCTTAGACGCAAGAATGGCCAGACTTCATCTCACTTACTTTGGTATCCTAAGAAGGGACCATTCCCTGGAGAAGGATGTCATGCTTGGTAAGGTGGAGGGTCAACAAAAGAGGGGAAGGCCCTCAATATGATGGACTGACACACAGGCAGTGGGAATGGGTTCAAGGATAGCAGGGATTGCGAAGCTGGGTGGGATGGGGTGGTGTTTCATTCAGTTGTGCATAGGGTCGCTATGAGTCGGAGACAACTCGATGGCATCTAAGCACAACCACCACCACTGATGTAAACAAGGGCCACATACACATTGCATAGCAACCAAATCTGTTACCAGTGGTACTTGGGCCCAAGTAAGAAATACACAGCTGTGTCTCATTCAAAAATGAGGCTCTACTGTGACTATGTGAATGTGTGTTGCTTTTCAGAGTCCTGCCAATAATGAAATCCCCTGCATGAGCCTCCTGAAACTTTCAGAAGGCAGGACTGTGACAGGACTTTTGGAAAGCAACGCTCATTCAAGAGGAAGACATAGGCATTTGTTTCCTACTGGAAAAGGAGTTCTAGTGGTATAGTGGGTAAGGCATTTGACTGTTAACCAGAAAGGTCAGCAGTTTAAAACCCACCTGCTGCTCCACAGGAGGAAGATGGGCCAATCTACTTCTATAAAGTTTTACAGCCTTGGAAACCCAGTGGGAGTTGGTATGAGTTGAAATTGACTTGATAGCAGTGAGTCTGGCTTTTCTGTGTGGAGTCAGAATAGCACAGGCAATAGATTTGGTTGCTATGCCACATATATGTGGCCCTGGTTTGTGACTGCAATTACTGTTTGAACTGGCCTGAAGCCACCCAGAAGTGCCTTGGAAGACAGGCCTGGAAATCTGGTTCTGAAAAATTGCAGCCTTAAAAACTCTAAGGAATAGTTTTACTCTGCACTAGTGAGGTCACTAGTGAGTCAGAATCTACTCATTGGCAAATACATAATAGCAACTTTTCTCCGGTTGCTAACAGGCTCCTGGTAGGCTTTAATCACCTAATACCCAACTCCTCCAGGTTTTTCCTATCAGATCAATCTTTCCCAAAATGCTCTTTTGCACAGTGGCTAATCTACTGCTATAAACGGTAGACAATTTTCTTTAGTGGGTTACTTTATGCTCCATATAAACCAGATCAAATTCCTTTCTCTCTAATGTTGTGGCCTGTAGGCTAGGCAGGCTTAGATCAACTGTTACTCTGCGAAGAGCATGCACCTTGATCTGTTTTTGAGGCCTGCTCCTGTGGGGAAGGTCTGTGACTATCCAGCAATGTCAGAGATACGATGTTTAACTCTGGGGTAATGTGTGCAAGACCTTGTGATTGCTGATCTAAGGCAATGTTCTCCAATCAGCTTAGCAGAAATATACTTAACATTTTGATATCTCATTTGCCTGTCTCCTTTTCTTGCATACCATTTGCTAGAGTAATTCAGGCCAACATAGTCTTGGCAAAAAGTCCTATATAAAAAATTTGCTTTCAAGTTTTTCTCATCTATTTTCCTTGCCTAAATTTCCCTCACCTTTGCCACAACATTGTTTTCATTTCCAGAAAACGTTCAAGTATTCCTCTCTGTAAAACATAATAAAATTGTTTCAAATCACATAGATGCCTTTCTTTTCCAGTTTTCTTTACTACTACTTGCCACTTGATACATCATCAGATGGAGAGAAGTTATCTAATGTTTTAAATGTAAACATCCTCTATCCCCAACTAATGTGTCAGTTTGGACAGACCCTTATTGAACACTTTGTATAGCAAAGAGGCTGGGGCATGAGGTAATCCAAAATTCAATGCTGCTGCTGCTTCTCAACTTATCTTTGTATCTCTCCATTCTTTCCTCTTACTGTCTGTCTTTTGTGTTTAGATAAGTGAGCAAGATTTGTGTACCCAATGTTCAGCTCTCAAAAAGTTGCAATGAGAGAAAGGATAAAAAGTGAGCTACAGACCAAATGATGGAGTGAAACAACATGGCATCTTGGCACAACGTTCAATTTATTAAAAAAAAAAAAAAAGAAAAAAGAAATATCCAAAGAGAAGGGAGGCCATCAGCTAAGTATGACCTGTTCATGTCTAAACATCAAACTTTTACTTTCTTCAAATTCTAGGCAAAGCAGAATGATTTGAGCATAGATTTACATTATGACCATAAAGAAGTTTATAAAAGCTAAATCAGGGAAGCAAAAGGATATTTCTCAGTATCTGGTGCTTCTTTGATACTTAATAATTTCTACTTTAAAGTAATTTTAAAACACTATCTTTATTCATAGCAATAGTAATATCATTGTAACAGAGATGCAATAAGCAACCTGCAACCTTTCTGTATTGATTTCTTAATTATTCAGTGGCAATTACCTTCATTTCTCCTTCTTCTACCACCAACTGCCAATTGGCATCTCCACCTACATCCTGTAATGAATAAGTCATGTGGTTCTGTACCATCTCTTCAACCTTGAAAAGAAAAATAAAGCCATGAGAACCCACACCCAGTTAATAGCTATGTCATAATTTCTTAAACAGAATGGGATTCAGTTTACTTCAGTTCAGAAATGGTGCTCTTAGGAAGGTGAGCAACCAAATGAACAAAGGTTAGTAGGTTTTATAGAGTTTTGTAGTGTTTAGTCCACATACCAGCTATCAAGGTTAATGACAGAAGCGGAAAATGCAGGGAAAGAGGATGGTTCAGTTAAGTAACACAGATTGGCCTATATGAAAAATAAACATTTTCTGGAAAAAGAGAAATATTCTATCCTCTACCATAAAATGTTTCCTTACAAAGATGAGGTCTTAAGGCATAGAATTATGGAATACTAAAGAGTGGTATGAGGACATCACTTAAGGCAGTGTCCTTATATTTCAGACTACATAGAGGTATTAGAATACTTGCTGTATGTCTGTCAACTGATTTCCTAGAAAAAGGTGATAAAAATTTCCTTACTTCATTAACGATAAACTCTTTTATTACGAAGGTAAGCCATTGTAAAAATAACCACCTCCCCCCTCACACCCATTTGTTTGATTCCAATTTCATTGTTCTAAATTTTTTAGGGACAATTTCAATACTCATCTACGCAAAGATTTACAAATAATCACCTTTCAATTCATTCTTTCTAAATTTCTACCACTGAAACTTAAATGAAATCTCTGTTTATTGATATAGCCTTCGTTTTTAAAGCAGTTTCAGGTTTGCAGAAATATTGCGCAGAAAGTACAGAGAGCTTCTAAACACCCCATTCCCTGCACAGTTTCTCCTACTGAACCTCAGCCTTTAAATATCACAAACTACCCTACACATCTTATATAAGGAATAAAGGGTGAACACTTCAGACTCCCAGAATCTTAATCAGATTTGATGGTAAGAATCCACATGAGCATTCTTTGTAGTCTCCCAGTTTGAAATGTGTTTTGAAGCAGCACCAAACTGATAAAAAAGATGTGTCTCAAAGAACCAGATTCTTTATCATCTATCCATAGATGGCTTTTCTAAGCTCAACTTTAAATCTTCTATTAAATAATTTTGCTCTATGTAATAAATACATTATACAAAGCAGAAAAGGAAAAGTTAGAAAATATTCATATTGTACTTCCTAAGGATAACTCCTCATTTTACATAAAGTTTACTGCATTAATGATTAGAGATACAAAACAAGGAACAAAGATCACACACATTTTGAAACACAAAATATTACCGTCTGTGGGGCAGAAACTCTCAAAGTTATTAACCTTGGGAAAGTACTATTTTTCTATATTAAAGGATGTTTTCAATATGTTAATTGTAATGTTTTCTGGATCTTAGAATGCATTTTTGGTTACTGAAAAAACATGTATGGTTTTGGCAATTATGACTTAAGTTTTTGATGAAAATGTTTATAAATTTCTACAACCTATTTTTATAGTAAATGAACACTTAATTAATATTTTATTTGCCACTCATAATTCCAAAAATAATGTGAGAAGTGTTCACTTATAGACTTTGTAACAAAGAGTGAAATATATAATCTTACCAAAGCTTTAATTAGAAAACAAAATTTCAAGTGTTGCCTGGAGAAAACTGTGTGCCTCTACAATTCTGAAATCTGCTTTGAGAGGGTAAGAGTGACTAATGCAGGATTCCAAGTTACAAATACACACAAAATGTATGTGATTTCCAAAAGAGGATAAAGGGAAATTTCATATAGTGTGCATAAGTAAAACAACCATATAATTCAGGGTTCATATAATTCATGGAATCAAATCATGGTTTGATTCATCTGTCTGCATCACACTGTGATCAGGAGAAACTTTTATTGTCTTCAGATTTTGAGATCTTAAAAATCTTTTGATTTTTTTAAATTACTGAAACATACCAATAAAGACCCAATACTTGACATCTCTTAAGTTTAAAGCCATTTTATATACCCAAGGTTTTTATCTTATTTATTTCCTTGCAAAAGTCCAATAAATAAACAAATTAAAAAGATATATTCAAAGCTGTGCTCCTATGAAATTAAAGAAATAAATAACATCCTCCATTGTTACAGTAATCATCTCTGCAAAGTCTTCATTTATCATGGAATTCTCCTTAAAGTATTAATATTAAAGTTAAGAGAAAAGCAACACATGTAAAATCTCACTGTAATGAATTTTATGTTCATGGAAATAAACTAGCCAGTGTTCTGTGGGGCAGTAACTTGAGCATTCATGACTACAGTGATACTTCATCTAACTTCATAGTCTGCTAAGTATACTGTTTTCAACTATGACTCTGTATATCAAATATGTAGGAAACAAGGAATCATTAAGTTTCATGACAAGAATAAACACAAGCTAAATTTACCATTATTATAAGGCTCAAAATTCAATATTGTAGTACACTGTCACTTAAAAAAAAAACACGCAGCTGGGATCAAAATCATCAAAGCAAGTGCTGTTAGCAATTGTAATTAAGCATAATTTCGGGAATCATGCCCTTGATTTTTTGGACCTGGTGTTGGAAATAATGAGCTGACATACACAATATATTCATACCAACTTAATTCTAAAAAAGGAGATGAAATACATTTTGAGGTAACTGGTATGATAGTAGACCTTAAAATGGAGGCACTTGGGCTAGTTTGACAGCATGGAACTTGTCTACTATTGATCCTGGGGAGGTAGGGAAAAGAAACCAGCTGCAGTTCTTAGAAAATGTAGCTGAGGTTGCAGTGTTCAGAAACTTGAACTGTCAAAACTGTTTCTATAAGAGGCTCTGAAGAAACTATGTAAAATTAACCAATCTGCATGAGAAGAACAAACTATTTTAAAACCTTTGTGGTTTTGGCAATCTCAAAATGTACCTTTGTAAATGTCAACCATTCATGAGTTTTCACCTGCTAGTCCTTCATTGGTGGCAGAGTGGATGAGGCATTTGGCTGCTAACCAGGAGGTCAGTGGTTCAAGCCCACCAGGTGCTTCGCGGAAGGAAGACAGGGCAATCTACTTCCATAAAGATTTACAGTCTCGGAAACCCAATGGGGGTCACTATGAGTCAGAATCGACTCAATGGCAGTGAGTTTGGCTTTGGTTTTGAGTCCTGCATTACACTGTATAAATGCCTAGCTCCAATTATAGCACTTTGGAGCACTTGTTTCATTTTGTGAGTCTGTGTGTTTCCCAGCTTGAGCTGTATTCCTTCCTTAATAAATCTCTTTGTTTTACTTCGACAGAGTATTGTTTTCTAGCATTTCTGGTGTCAGAAGTGGGATTTGAAGGTGCAGTGCCAAAAGCAACCCCTGGGGAGATAAGGATTTGAACTTTAGTACCAGAAGGGCTGTTTGGATTCACTGCTCCACAAACTCTCAGGAGTTACTGCAAGGTAAATAACATCTCAAAGCTAAGCTCAACTTTATTTGGGTTGTAGCTCTTCAAGTTTTATTGAAGATCAGGTTTTGTTCTGGCAAAAATATTTTACTCTTTCTGGGAAAATGGGGATTGCCAAGTTTAAGGGGTGATGCAGAGCCACTTTCTGGGGACTCCAGCCCACTACATGAATAAGTACTCTGGTCTTTTAATGTGTGAGCTTTTGTCTGGCTGGCACTGCCTTATCAGAAATAGTCTGGAAAATCAGTGACCACTCACATTTCTTTTGATTTGTAGACTTTCTGTGCACTAAATTAGAAAATAAAGGCCCTAAATCAAACTATCTCAATGTGATGCCTATTTCCACTGTACCTAAAAATGACTAAAAGACATCAGGACAGTAACATCACTTCCCTACAGGATAATCTCTCTAAATTAACTAAGCAAATTAAGGAGCTACACTGTCAAGTTTCTTTCTACCTATTCTTGTTGCTCTTAGGTCATCTGCCTCTTTGCCAGCCACCTGTTGAAAAGCCAAAATTTCTCTCTGAAAAGAAAAACAATAGAAAAATCTCTGCCTGAAATACCTATTTTGATTGTATTTGGATTTTGGTTATACTCCCTAACAACAATTTGTTAAATCAGTAGTCAGTTTTGAGTACTTTCCAAATAGAGAAACTGATGTGCCTAAAATAAGAGTCTAGGTCTCTAGCCGGCAGAACAAATTAGGTTCAGAAAGACTGAAATAAAAGAGATTCTGAAAAATGAGCCTGGATCCCATGCTCCCCCCACCCCACCAATATGCAGGTTTAGGGTTCATGTTCAAAAATACTAAAAGTGGAATTTACTTAAAATAATTGAGAATTTCAACGATCACTCTGGGAAAGCGAATTTCCATTTGTATGTGTGTGTGTGTGTGTGTTTGTGTGGAGAGAGAGAGAGAGAAGGAGAGACAGCTCTTTTATTTAATGCTCAGTTTCAATTAAAATGTCTGAATAAAATACCTCCATCTGAGACTCTGGGAAGTTAATAGATTTGGACCTGTTTTTCTGTTTAACGGAGTCAATCTCATCCAAGAATTTTGCATACGTTTTAAGAAAGTAGGTTCTCCACATGTTTATCTTACGTAAAGTTGAATCTAAGCCTGAATTTTGAGTTGGCCCACAAATTGGTGAATTTGTGTGGATTTTCTGTCTCATTTTTTGTCTTGAGTTTCTGTCTTGTTGCAGGAAGCTGTGACTAGTAGTTGCTACCTTTTTTTTTTCTTTTTCTTTTTCCCCTTATGAGGCAGTATTGTAAATCTTAGGAAAACTGTTTCTTGTACCTGTCTTATGAGATAGACTTTCAGTAGCTACACTTGGAAACATTTGATATAAACTGTAGTTGTTGTTGTTATGTGCTGTGGAGTCCGACCCGGCTCATAGCGACCCCTCCTTGGGTTTCTGAGGCAGTATCACTACTTGACTGCTAACCAGAAGGCAAGCGGTTCAAACCCACCACTCCTTGGAAGGAAGATGGGGCAATCTATTTCTGTAGTGAGTGCTCCTTGATATAAATTAGTGTATTTGAAAGATGCACTGACAAGGATGAACTGTTTATTTTAATTGCTATAACAAGGCCTTAAAAAGGATAAC